GACTTGGCAGTGTTGGTATTATGGTTGGACTTGATTACCTTAAGGGTGTTTTCCAACCTAAATGATTCTGTGGTTCTAAAAGGTGACTTCCTGATCTTAAGAACATGTAATTATTGGGTTTGTGAAATAGTGATGTTTCCTGGAGGAAATAATTTAGGCTTCCTCCTAAGCGGATCTGCAAGAGGACCTGTGTGTATGCCTATATAACTGAAATCCCTTTAGGAATTGAAGGGTAGGAAGGGAAAAATCCACTGGTTGCTACTTCAGAACTGATAGCAAACATCTTAATAAAATACGTATTTTTACGAAGCAAAGCTTTTTAACCTCCCACTATGAATTAAGTACAAGCTAATCTAGGCTACCTGGAGATAAAATGGAAGGGCCAAAACCTCAAGTAAAGATCTGGAGTGCTAATCCACGTTTAGAGTTTCCAAAGTAGTTAACTACAGTTTCTGAAGTAGGTGCTAAATAGGCTTAATAGCTCTTGGTTTTGGACACTTCTAGTCCAGGATCTGCTAATTGACCTCCCCTGCTCTCCCCTGCTGATTGCTGCAAAAAACCACAGCAGCCAGCATGTCCTGCTGTTCTCTGGTAATGAGTCTTTGCTCCTTGGGTCCAGAAGGTGTAAGAGATACATCATTCTGAACCTGCTGCGGCAGAAGCATCAGCAGTAGAAAATTAAGCGCAGAAAGAAAAATATGGGACAGCTTTGTAGATTTAAAATGTCATTTATATCAGTGGACTCCAGGGTACTGAGTGAGGTTCAGCTGCCCGGTTTTCCATTGGTTTAGTCGCTGGAAGTAAGCTGTGCTGTGAGGCAGCTGAGCAGGCCAGTGAAGATGAGTTTTGGGGAGTACCTTTGCTAGATACAGGTTCATACTCTCCCATGGATCTTGCACCTGAAGGGTGTTTGGATAGCCTTTGTTCTGTTTTACATTTGTTACAGAAATATTCCTCTTCGGCACTTACAAAAGGTGTTTGCAGCAAGAAAAATACTCAGGATTTCATACGGAAGGTAGAGGTGGCAATCATGGCTGCTTTACACACACTTCCTACAGCTTCTGTTAATTCCTCGAAGAAACATCAGCTTCCTGATTTTTAGATACCTTCTATCCATTCCTCTTACATGATCTCTTTGATTTGAAAACAATAATTAGTCTTAATTATGACCTGCATTATGTATTCTTTGTTAGGTTCTAAAATACCAACAGCACTTCCTTTTCCCATAAGCTTCTGTTCAAGTAGTCGGGGTTTTTTTGTTTTGTCACCCAAATATGTGGGTATTGTTTGGTTCTTCCCTTGCGAAATAGGCAGAGATGGCGGACAAAGAAGGATGCAGTTATCAGTGCCATGGGGACATGGAAAAATACTGTAATTAAAAGCATGAACTGCAAATGTCATCCCAATTTAACAGTGTCCTGCTGGGATCTTTCTCTGAGTTGTCATACCTCCTGATGCTGCTGCTTTCTTCCTGTGACCAAACCTATGTGGAAAGGTTTAATCTGGTTTAGAATTTCTTTAGCACTGGATCAGAGAGGGAAAAATAAGTTAAACTTCAGCCTGCCCAAACATTTATTTAAAGACCTGGAAGGAAAGTGAGCTGGATTAACCTGCTATATAGGTGTGAATTCATATAGGTATATAGGCTATGAACTCATAGCTAGCTCAAGTAGAGTTTGTCCCAGCGTACATGGGACAAGATCCTGCCTCTGATTTAGTGTTGTTAACAGTGTTCAGCTCAGTTGTAGTAGGTAACATTTGAAAAGCATGCAGGGGAGCTGCCTGGGCTCTTAAAGGTGCATCAGAAATACAGAAGGGCAGGGTACGATGTCTAGTAACTTCTTGTAGTATTATTCCCTACAGTTGTCTTTGTGCCCTCCTGCAGTTAATGAGGTACAAGGCACTTGACATTGACCCTGTGTTGTGTTAGGGCGTGGAGCAATTTTTTATACATTTGTAGATCCTGTTTTTTTGTTTTTGTTTTTTTGTTGGGTTCCCCCCCCCTTCCCTTAATATGAGCTGGAAATTATGTAAAGGGCTCTCAAAAATTGATGGTTGATGATAAGCACTGTCATATCATTAAGCAATCATTTTCTTCAATTTTCTTCTTTATCCTACCATTCTACAAGTATATCTAATAGCAACAGAGAGAGGACTTACCAGATTTGTTGAGGAGGGTTTTTTGTTTGTTTCTTAAATGTACGGATTTGTGAAGATTACTGCAATTCTTGCAGTGAAAGTTTGCAGTTACTCAATTAGTTTGCACTCCTTAAATGTCCTAGATGGGTTGCTACAGAAGTGGGAGGAGAAAATTTTACAGCAGGACCTCTTGCATTCTTTTAAGGATCATTACTCTGCAGTTAAAGTAAAACTTACGTGGTTTTGGTTCTGTGTTAACAAATTTCTAGAAAACTGGCAGAATTTATGGTAAGACATGATTTTTTGGGGTGGTTTGTCCATCGTAAGGAATGCCTTTCAGATGAAAGAGTTTTTGTAAAATCAGAGGCCAATCTTGCCTTCTATTAGGCCATTCACTGATTACCCGCTCTGGATGATACAAATGTAAATTATTTCCAGAAACAGTTTAATTCACCCTTATGAAGCTATTTGTCAATTCTTTAGTAATGTATACGTGCTACTTTAGCAACTTGCAGGGATTAAACGGGTGACTGAGGAAGAACAACACCACAGATCCCACAGGGTCATTTTGTTTCTCCCTAATGACAGGGAGTATGTCCTAGCAGGAGGAGCAGTTTCTGGTTTTCCATGTGATGCAAAAATACCATTACAGAATTTAAATTACTAAATGACACTTGACTGGAATTTGAATGGAAACTAGCCAGCTTACTAATCGAGTATGTGTTTGCAAGTCTCATGTAATTTCGCATCCATGGGAGAGAGGAACCAAAAGGACTGTTTTTTCCTAGCTCTAGCAGAAGTGAAAATTAGGATTCAACTTACAAAGCCAAAGCTGCATTGTCCCTTTCCTGGAGATCAGAATGAGGATGAGTGAAAGAGAGGGCCAAGGGAAGAATTTGTTCCAGCTTCAAATTTTGCTTCCATTTAAAGTTTGATTTTGTAAAACATTGGTCCCATTTTCATGAAATCGAAGTTAGCTGGTTTCTTAAAAAAAAAAATCTTTCATTTTTAAAGATTGCTCTTACTCAGCACCATCTAGTGGACTGACTGCTCTTGTCATTTAGAAAACTGTTGGTCTTTCTAGACGGTACAGAAAATTAGAGCATGCATTCCTTGTAGTGTGAATAACATATGTTTGTGACTAATTATACAGCAGAATCAGAAGAAGATCAGCAGTCGTTTAGTTGAAAAGGATCAGTGTAAAGGAAAGAAAGTTTAAGATACATGTGGGTAGTGTTGCCTGCTAGCTCTTGCGTTCCTTTAGTCCCTCAAGCTCCAGCCTGTTTGCATGCTTCTCTGCCTTGCCATAGGATGCCATTAAGTTTGCAAGCATCTCAAAGGAAAGACTTTGGAGTACTGTTTCTTTGTGCATTACCACACAACACAAGTCACAGCCTCATTTGTCACTGTGATACAAATGATAAATACAAGCTGATGCTAACAGTAAGCTTTGAAGTCCTCACCTGAGGAAAATGCTATGGAGTCTTTCCAGCTGGAATTGTAGGCAAGGAATTCAGTGTTTGGCTCTTTGAAAAAACATGGGTTTGTTTAAAGAAAAAGAATCTCTTGGGAAAACCCCCCTATAGAGTGCACATCTGCAGTCAGTGTAATTGTCCGGTCACCCCAGTAGCTAGCTGCCTTGGGACTTGGGAAAAGTTAAGGGATCTGAGGCTCAGGTCTTTGGGGGTGCATGGAAACAGGTTTGATTTTTCCACGTCTAGCAAGAAGGGCTGAATCTCCCAGAAAATTGTTTCTAGAAGGACTGGGTGTTTCTGCAGCCCTGGCTACATCACCAATATTCTACTGCTCTCCCTTAAATAAGGTTTCTTTGGTAGCAAGCCCTTCATTTTGCAGCTCCAGGTGCAAATGAAAGGAGAACAAAGCCGGGGAGATCCTGAGTGTCTGTGCAGAAGACCCTGACAAAAGCTGCAGACATATGGGTGAGAGCAGACAACCAATACACTCAGTGACACCAGGCAAGCACCAGAGGCAAAACCTCCCTCTAAGTGCAAGAAGCACTGCGCATCACAGGGAGCAGGGGCAAACATATAAAAGAGGAGCAAAACGAAGTTGCGTTGTAGCAAATGCACCAGGTTGTAACAGCTTCCCCTTTAAACTTCCTTGTGTTTTAACATTTCATCACTTCAGGATCTGGTTTTTTTTTTGTTCAATTCACGTGTTTTGGGCAATGAAAATAAGTGGGTCAGTTTCATTCTGTAAATTTGTATGCATTAGCACAATAACATTGTGCTGAGGTTTCCAAAAAAGCTATTCTTAAATAATTCATAGAAGCATTTCACTTCGTTTTTCCAAAATCTAAATGTGTACTAGTTTAATGAAACCCAGAATTTAAATAACATTCTTGGTTTTGGGTGGGGTTTTTTTCCTTCCTTTTCTAAGTTTTTAATATAGTGCAACAGTCAGAGTATCACTTGTCTGCTGGCCTCCTCACAATATTGGATGGCAGCACAACCTCTCCAGGCAGAAGTGACTGGGTTTTGAGATGAAGAAAATAAAGGTTTAGGGATTTTCTTTTTCACAAAGTTTCAAGTTTGAGACAATAGCTGTAGATACTGATTGCAGCATACATGTTCATCTGGTTGAGTGGGTTCTTATTTGGAAATGCACCCACTGACTGCAGCAGGAAATGTGGGTCCAAAAAGGTTGCAATGTTTAAAAAAACAAATTTAGTGACAGGAATCCTGTTTTATTAGAGATTTGGGTAAAAATCCTACATGCTGGAAAACCGTTTGTCAAGGAGATGGCTCTGCTTTTCTGATAGCTGTGAGCCAAACGTTAGCTAGCATATGAGGACACAAGAAAACACTTAAAATTGTTTCTCTCTTTCTGTTTCTCCTCTAGCTCTGGGATTGTACACAGTAAATGCAGTATATGGAGATACTATTACTATGCCTTGTCGTCTAGAAGTACCAGATGGTCTTATGTTTGGAAAATGGAAATATGTAAGTATAGCTTACCTTACATTCGTTAAAGCTGGTATGTTATTTTTTATGTGTGAGATTACAAGAATCCAATCAATAGGATTTCTGCCTTGGATATGAAGACATTTATTCCTGTGGTTGTAAGGCTACAAGATTCCAATCTGCATAATTTCTGCCAAGGTTAGAGTTTTGAGGAATTAATCTCATTGTTTAAGAGAAATAATTATTTGGGAGTTCTCTGCCAACCTGTATTAGAGATCTGGCATGTTACCCAGTGGTGTCTCACTCGCTTGACAGAGCCATCGTTGTATATTTGAATACTTTTGAAGTGGGATACGTGAAGCAGGACAATGTTTCGTCCCTGGGAAAGTGACATCTTTTGATTCCTTTGGTTGGTTGATCTGACAGTCACTCAATATTGTTTCATGCTGTGTTGCATTTAATGAACAGTGAAGAGTGCAGAGCTGACTTCAGTATTCTGGTGGTTTCACTCTGCCATTGCTGGTGCACAGTGGTGGACAAAGGCAAAAACAGAAGTGTTGTCTTGGTCAGCTTGCAGTAGGAACATCACTGGATGTGCTTGTCCCTAGACGTTGGTACCTCAGGCCAAAAGGAGAATAAGCATAGCAAAGTCAAATAAAACCTTGAAAGTATGCCTACTGAAAAACACCAGGATACCAAAACCCTTATGCTTTTCAGACTGACATCAGGACAATCTGGTTTTCCTGCTTCTGTGAAATTAATCTAAATCTTCTCTCATGCTCAAACCAAAATGTTACCATCAGTAACAGGTGATTTCTACTCTGACAGTGGATTTAAAATTATGTAGTTCTCTCTCTCTCTCCCCTTGTAAGTGGCATCCACCATCTTATTTTACATTATTCTGGTTTGCTGCTGGGAGGTGTGTCATAATCCCTCCCTGCTCCTTCCCTTGTACCTGGAGGTTTGCAGCCTTTGCAGCCATCATCCACTCAAGAGTTCCTTCTCCACAGACACGTTTGAGGAAATGAAGTCGGAAGTCAATGGAGAATATTACACCAAAAAGGTTCAGTAACACTGTTTTGCATAAGCATTCAGAAGATGCAGTGCCTGCATTTTGCAGTGTGTTTGTTTCAGTCTGCTGGCTTTTTTGGGGAAGACACAAGTCCATCTCTATGAAGATGCAAGGCTGTTTTGAGGAAAAAGAAATGCATTCTCTCTTTCCGGTGCACTTCTAAGTGGAAAGGGACATTAAATCTGACATGCAAAAAAACTGATCTGGTTGCTATTGTATGAGTTCTTGATACAGTGCACGTAATCAAGTGAAAGTGATATCTGTTCTCTCAGGGCAGCTCCCAGCTTGGCAATGCTTGGGGGTGGGGGGCAGGTGTTAGGGGATTTTGGTTAGGTGGATATTTCATTGGAAGAAGGAGGAACTACCTTTGCTGCTCTGCTGCCTTGGGAGCAGCAATTTGGGTTCCTGGTGGGAGCCCAGGAGTGCTGGGAAACTTGCATCCTGGCAGGAGCAGACTTTGTTGCCTTGAATGTCTACCTATGCCTGCTTGTGTGCTGGGTAGGCTTACAGAGTTAACAGCTCATTTGCACTTGACAGCTAATTTCCTGTGTATCAAGTCAAGACAATACTTTCTTTCCTGTGTGATAGACATCTAGAGTAATCTGCAAGTGGGAGAAGAAGAAAGACTGTAAGGGAATTCAAACTTCACATTAGCTGTTGCTTCCTGCTCCTTGCCCAGCTCTGACAGAACCTATCTCTTGTCACAGCATCTTCATGCTTTTGTGGACTCTGCAGTCAAGCTGAGGTATTGTGCTAGGAGCACTACTTGCATCAGTGCTGCAAGGTGCAAGGGATAAAAAGGAATAAAATCCTCTTCCAGCCCCCCAGCACAATACTGAACATAATGATGGAGTCAGCCTTTCACCTCACTTTAAATAAAGGCAGACAGAGCCTGTCCCTGCTCTGTGTGTGTATAAGTAGGGTGGAATCAAATGCTGCAGAACTCTACCTGTAACTGTGTCTCTCAAAAATAATTTGTTTGTATGGGAGTCTTCTCCAAGGCTGTCAACTTTGTATTTCTTCTTAGGATGGTAACAGCATACAGATTAATATAAGGAAGATGTCTAGAAAATGCTCTTTTGCAGATTATCAGGACATGCATAAGTAACAATATTTCATTGTATGTATATTCCCATGCCACAAGTTCTTGGGCCCTTTAAAAACAAATAAAAAAAGTTAAAAACTAATTTAGAATAAAATAGGCTGTTATGCCTGATTAAATCCTGCATTTGGAATGAAGTCTCAATATCCCAGACAAACAATATGAATATGTAAACCAATCATGGATAAAAAGGAAACTGAAGCTTCTAAGTCCAGCTCACGAATGCTTCTGTTTCAAATACTTTTTTTCATACAGACAGAGGCAGCGGGTGCCAGAACCACCAGCCTTCATCAGAGAAAGCACTCTGCTATGCCGAGATTGAGCCAGTTCTACGGATTATATTCTCTATGTATACCACAGCAGTCTTAAACTAGCTCTCATATTACACTGAATTTATTGTTTGTATAGCAGAAATTTATCAGGAAAAAAAGCCATCTAATGTAGTTTTCAGATTTTTATTTTTTTTTATATTATGGGTTTGTACCAATTGCAGATCTTCAGGAACTTCTGAATGGAAGTGTATACAAAATAGAGATATTTATCCTTTTATTATAGGAAATGCCAAATGGATCTCCAGTATTTATTGCCTTCAGATCATCAACAAAAAAAAATGTACAGTATGATGATGTACCAGAGTACAAAGACAGGTTGAGTCTCTCAGAAAACTATACGTTATCCATCAAGAATGCAAGAATCAATGATGAAAAGAGATTTGTATGTATGCTTGTTACAGAAGATGATGTTTTCGAAGAGCCGACGATAGTCAAAGTCTTCAGTAAGTAAATCTAGTTCTTACTACTGTTAACATTCATCAGCATATGAATCGTAAATTACAGAAAGTTTTGTTTAAGGGAAAGATTAAAGCCAAGAAAGTAAGTTTGGCTGAGTAAATTACTAAGACTAGCAAATTTCTGCAGCTTTCAAAAATGTAATCTACTGGTGGCATTTATGTAACAGGACTGCCTGCACTTGCAGTTTATTCATGATAAGTGCTGGCTCAAAGAGAATTTTAGGCTTTGATAATGACTCACTTATATGATGTCATTTGGCCTTGGAAATGAAAAATGTAAAATTAGCACTGATTATTTTCCATTTGTTCTCCAAGTGAATTTTTCTGCAGGAGGGAAGCATTAACTGTGTGCAGTCTGCAAGATGAGATCAGGGGAGAGGTTTAAAGCAGCACTGAGCAGCCTGTGTGCAATGGTATGAACTGTGAGGGAGAGAGCAAGAGGCTGGAAAACGAGTTGCCAGCCCCAAGTACTTATTTTGTCCTCTCCAGAACTACCAGGAGGAATACCAGTTTGCAGTTCTTCTTTCTTAGAGCACAGCAAAGTTTATTAGTGATATCGTTACAACCCAATTGCAAGGCTGATCTGCAGTGGGATCCCCAGCGCCCTGGAGCACAGTCGTGTTCAAATCATACAGGAGTGTGGACAAACCTGGCCTTTTTCCCGTGCTAATCCAGAGCAGAAATGTAATCCTGCAAACCCTGACAGCCCATGGAGATGTCCATTGCTCCTTTTTGGGGGTGCAGGTCTGCTGGGGCAGAGGTTAGCATCTGTAAATGCTGCCCTGTGACTGCAGTGGGTATCTTCCTTAGCTTCATGTTTTTACATGGCTTTTTTTGGCCCTTGTTGCTCTTCAGGTGCAGATTTACACAGTCAAAGTTAGTCTCTGTTGTGGTAACACGTTGACTGCAGGGATGGGCAGTTTGGAAGAGGTCACGCTTCTGCTTGGAAAAACACGAAGTCGTGTTTTGTAAGGGCAGCCTTATGCTTCTCTCTGGGAGGTGTCAGGGAGTCATCAGCAGTGTCTAGGCAGAAGTCTGGTGGTGGCATAACTGAGTTCGAAGCTAAACTAGGGATCAACACTAATTCTGTTCCTTCGTTTCAATTTGACTGTGAGAACAATTGAATTAATGACAACAGGGAGGAGTGTGCTCAGAGCATGCATAGTAAACACAGTGCTTCAAAGGAAATTATAAAGAATTATCATGTTTACCTATCACACAGCAGTAAATATGTAGATGAGACAGTGGTATATAGTAAAATGAAATGCTAACTGCTTGAATTACTGAGTACTGTACTAAATATTAAAACAATGCTAACTCAGCCATGGAGCACAGCTTGTATATTTTATTGTATGCATTAGTACTAATAGAGAAATCTTCTATTTGCTAAGGAAGATAAGAATAGAGGATGCCACACGTACTGTGGTGGACTTAGCACTACAAGAAGCAGTTACCTTTGCAGTTTTTCATTTTGAGTTCACAACTTTATTTAGCGTTACCTTAACATTTCTTTGCTTTTAACTTCCTTGTTAAAAGCGGTTTTGGTTTTTCACTTTTGCTTGCTTGCTTGCTTGTTCTAATTACAAAAGAGTTAAGAATAGCCTGCAGGCTTCATTTATTTAACCAACAGAGTTTCTAACTCATTGAACCACAGATACAGAGCTAAACTGCAGCATTGTGAACCCTCATAAACCAAAATCTTATGCATCTGAAACTCAGCTGTATCCCGGAAGTCGTGACTGATGCTGGGTTTTACTGGGGTTTGTCATGTCCTCAGCTGTGCTACCTGATTAACTCAGAACTAAGGAGCTGAAATGGTTCATTGCACAGGTACCACCTGCTAGGCTCGCTTACTGGACTGCTCAAACAAGCTCTACCAGCTTTCCAGATGGATCCTGTCAGCATCTTTTTTTGTGGAATTAAGTGGCTAATTTCCAAAGCTGAACAGCCCAGTAGACATGAGCTGCTGTCCTACCACATGGATGCTTGGCTTTTGCAGGCAGTAATCTTTCCCCCCACCCCAATTATAGGGCCTATACAGAGTTGCAAAATACTCTGGCAAGCTTTTAAGCTGAGAGATAAGCAGTGGGCTGAAGTTGCAAACCCACCAAAATGGGCTCTGCTGCTGCCAAGTTTAAAATTTCTTCTTGCTTCAGACACTGAGTTAGTAAATGCCAAATAAGTCTTTGTAGTGAATTACCTTGGTGTACATGCTGTGGCTGTGGGAATCTGGCAGCAGACATTTCCTTTCAGAGGCTCCTCCAAGAGAGAATGTGGCAGCTTCTCAACTGGAGCATCTGCTCAGTCACCAGATCACTCAAAACAGGGAGAGCCACACAGGGGCCACAGAGCAGGAGGTCTTCCCTTTCCTTCAGTAGGAGCATTGCAGGGCTCGGCTATCAAAAGGACCAAAAAGTAGTCTTCTCAAACCACACTTGGGGGAGATAAGAGATGAAAGGAAGCAAGGCTGAGGTGACAGAAGGTGTTTTAAATCAACAAGCTGGTGACTTGTAACAGGCAGTCAACTGTGGCTGTTTATGGAACCCAAGAATCTGAACAAGGCGTCCTGTTAATGGTCTTGTGAAACCACATTTGCTTGAATTGACATTAAGATGTTTTGTCCTTGACAGGTTCTTACAGAGAATAGGTTAACCTTTTTCCATTAAAACTAACAAAAGAGAAATAAATATGCACATATCTTAAAAAAATAATCTTTACTAGTCCTTTGAAGAAATCATGGTGGTTTTGGTGTATAGCTTTGACTTTCTTTTGTTTGTTTTTGGGTTTTGCAACAAGCAAAGGGTTTGGGTTCTTTTAAATGTCAAGTGAATAGGTTCTTCTATTGCCTTTCATTTCCTTTTTGAGCTGTCGTTGTTCCGTCCTGGTGTAGTCTTCCAAGTAAACAATATACGTGCATTTGTATGCACACAAATACGCAGACATACATGCACACAAAGCAAATGGATTCTTGTTGAAACATGTCGGCTTGTTATCTCTGTGATAGCAGGAGCAGTACACCTGCACGTTAGGAAGCTCATCAGTGTGTAGAGATTTTGGCAAGGTAATAAGTTCAGTTTGGACTGGGATTAGTGACATACACACATTATTTATTAGGAAGCTTGATTTGGAAAAAAGTTTTGTAAGCTGGCATGGTTTAGGATGTTTCAGTCTGTAAAAGTATATAATATGTATGCTTTTTAATGCAGTATAGCTGGGGCGTTGAGGCTTTTTTCAACTGTACAAACATTGATTTATTTTTCTTTTTTCCCCCCTCACTCTTCCCCTCTGCCTTTAAAATTGTGGGGAAAACTGTCTCTTTTGGAGATAAAAATTTGCATTCTGGGCTTCAGGCCAAACTATTTTAACAGACAAGTTATATAGTCTCTAGAAAGTACTCTTTTATGATGGAAACATTGATAGATCCTCCACTTTGGCAGGCTAAGAGGTCCATCTACCATAATAAAAGCAAATAAGAAGACATACTGGCACTGAAGAAAAACTTTATTTTTTTTTAAGAAAGTCATAACTAACTCAGAATCAGTTTAAGTAATTACATTTATGTCTATCATCTGAATTTCTTAAATGTAGCAATCACAGTTAGGAAAAATAAACATTAGAGGAATGATTAGGTTGAATTTTTTCCTTTATAATGTGACAGCTCAGCTACAGTAATATCCCCAGTAAAGCTGCTTTTCTGTTGCTATAGTTTCGGTACTACTGGTTCCTTCTCCAGCGTGTGTATCGTATAAATGAGATAGATCAGGTTCTCTCCTTCCAGGTGCTGCACTAATCTGCCTGGCTAAAAAATGTATTGTCAGAATGCATGGAATCCGTTATGACATGCTTTAAAATGATGGTTTTTTCCTTTTCAATCCATTTGCTAATATTGACATAGAAGTATCTCACCTTTTCTGCTTGTAATGGCAAAGCATAGGTAAGACTATACCAGACCAGATTATTCTATTTAGTCTCAAAGTCCATGAGGATTTTTTAGTAACTTTTTGTTTTTAAAACAGCTGTATATGCTTTCTTCACTAGTACTTTTATTTATGTTTTAGAACAACCCTCTCAACCAGAAATCTTACATCAAGCAGACTTCTTAGAAACAGAGAAGCTACAAATGGTAAGAGCACCATTCTCCCTCAAAGTTATGTGCCTGTCAGCTGCCTGAAGTCAACATGGAGAAAGGTGATAGAATGAGGCTTAGAGAGGGTGCACGTGTGCCTGTGAGAAATTGTTGTCTATAGCCAGTTCCCTTGCCAATGCTGTACTGACCCACCACCAAACCCTTTTCCACATTGTACCTAAGCCTCATTGATGGGTTTTGTCCTATTTAATAAAAATGGTTGGAGTTAAGCATTTGAACTTTCTAGAAATTTTTACCCAAAGCAGTGTAAGTAAAAATAGAATTATATTAAAACATTGTGGAGAGAAACAGCAACTAATTCCTGTCTGTTCTGCAGCTTGGGGAGTGCGTTGCAAGAGATAGTTATCCTGAAGGCAATGTTACATGGTACAAAAATGGGAGAGTTTTGCAGCCCGTGGAAGAAGGTACGTTTCAATAATAGCCAATGTCCCTGACTCCACAGGCAGGTGTATGTGTGAAGAACTGCATTTATAGGAGTTTCTCTACTTCAGTTTAGTGTATTGTTCCTTTAAGGAAAACTACTCATATGGAAAGATGAAACTGGAAGGAAACTTCTAGGCCATTCAGAGCACCCAAGCTATGCCATATAATCTCTCTCTTTCAGTTCCAGCTTTAAAACTACATCATGGGGAATGAAGGCTGCCTTTGTTAATACTATTGCAAAGCTATTCTTGAGCCTGTGTAGCTAGTAGAAACCCGAATCTAATTTCCAGCTTCTTATTAGGTGTTAACTGTCTCAATTTCACACCTGTCCAATATTGTGTTTGGAACATGTAGATCATCATGTCCTTATATTGGTATTTATCTTCCAGGATATTTACAAAGAGTGCTTGTTTTTTCACTCTCTTTCAAATTTGATTTTGATGGGCTAATCAGACCCCAATATTTTACCTTCCATAAAATAGACAATACTTACAAAATTCCGTTGTAAATATGATCCTAAAAACTGGTTTTGCCAGGATTTTCGAGGCCTTATTTCTGCTTAAGAATTGAGCTGAGATTTATATTAAAAACCCCACCAGTTTGCAATTAGTTTTCTGTTTTGATTTGCTCTAAAATGTACAGCATGTTAGGACTTTGCTGTTGATAATATGTTCCTGATGTACATCAGTGGCAATACTAGAGATAAACTGTACAGTTTCTTGGGTAATTTGTTGTGTTGCTTGCATGTTTCTATCCTGATAACAGATACAGAGTAAGCAACAAAATGTAGGAAAAAAGGGTTCAAACTTGCCTGTGTGACACTTAAACAGTATTTCCTTTTCAGTTGTGGTCATAAATTTGCAAAAGATTGTGGACAAGTCAACTGGACTCTTCACCATGACATCATCTCTTCAGTACATGCCAACAAAGCAAGATGCGAATGCCAAGTTTACTTGCATTGTGACATATTATGGACCATCTGGCCAGAAGACAATACAGTCTGAACCAGTTGTCTTTGATGTTCACTGTAAGTTATTAGAAAGCACCTATTGTTTTATGAAGTCTAACTCAGGGGTGGGAAACAAATTCAGAGACATTTTATAGAATTACAGACACATTGCTGCTTGCCTGGTGAGACAGTTTCTTCAAAGCTGATTGCAGCAAGAAGGTCTGAGTACATTCTCTGTGTAATTTTGCTTCAGATTTACCTGATATTTCTTTCTAACCTTAGAATACTGAATATCAAGATTGTGTTGACAAGATGAAAGCGGTAACCACAAAAATTTAGTGAAACGTGCTTTTCAGAACTTTGACAGAAGTTAGAGTGGTTTATCACTGGCTGTCTGTGCCCCCTGAAACATGCAATAAATACACAATATAGTTTTTAGTATACTCAAATGATTTTCATTTTTGCAGAGACAGCACCAAATGGCTAATGCAGGCAGACTACCTTGCACATAATGCAGTAGCATGTCTACAGCTGTAAATTGCTGATTTTTGCATTTAAAATATATCATTAGAATATTGGTAGACTTTTACGTAGGGAATCTGTAAATAATGACTTCCAGCTGGCCTAAGTCCTAAGGCAGCTTCCTTACCGTATTACTGACCAATGTGGAAATTATAATTCTCCTTTGAATAAACAAAATGGGCAGTTGTCAAGAAAGGTCATAGTTGGTGGTAGCAATTAGAGAAGCGGGGAAGAGGGTTTCAAAGATTTGTAGAATGGCTTTCTACTTCTGAAGGACTGTAGAAGGCAGCAGGTTGTAGCAGAATATAGAGGAACAGGAGATATACAATATGTCCAGTCAAGTGTTACCTTTCTGCACACTTCAGGTAATACCTCAGTTTATAAATCCTTGTTTCAGGAATGATATGGTCTAAGTATACGGTCTAACATGTAATAGGGTCTTACTATACATTGTGTAACAACTCTATAGCGCAGTTGAATACACAGAAAATTAGAAAGGGATTGGATTTCTCCAGCTAGCATGTGTACTCCATTGCCTTGAAACAAAAGCTACAGGCTTGAAGTGGGTAGATCTACGTGGATGATCAGTTCTTCACAGGCAAAGTTTGTTGAGTCATGGAGTAGAAGATCAGCTTTGACCTTAGTCAGATCATATAAAACCTTGGAGCAATTGCTCCTTGGTTTCACCTGGAGATGCCAGAGTAAATTAAGGCCTTTTCACAAGCTGTTTCTCCAGAATGACAACCAGCAGAACTGGAAAAGAAAACCTCTGGACAGCAATCATTATAATTAAAAATAATATAGAGATTTCAAGCCTGCAAACACCTATCCCATCTTTTTAAAGATAGAGGTTTTTTTCATCTTTTGGTTTTGCTTTAAAGTTGGGTTCCAAATTTCCCTGGGTTTTTTAATTTATTTCTGTCAACTGTGCAGCCCCATGACCATGAATAACTCCTGCTGTGTATGGCAGATGTTCACAGGGAAGAAGTGTGATGACCAGAAAGCATTTGTTGCTATTACTTGCCAAGAGATCCTTTGCTGTCCTCATTTCCGCACCACTTTCATGCATTAGGCTACATCTCCTGTTGAGGATGAGGCTCTTGCAGATTCTGTGGAACACGTACGATGTGCACTTGCAATTAAGGACTACCTGATGTGAGAGAAAAAGAAGTCTGCACAGCACTGCAGAACAGTTACTGTGCCAGATACTATGTGCATTCAGTATTAAACATTTTATGTTTGCTAGACTAGGTCTTTTAATCCTGGTCTAGTAACACACAATTTAATTAAGATAGTTCTTCCTCCAGAGATAGGCAGTATCATTGTGCTGCTAATTAGCCAACAGTGGGAAGCAGGCATACCCTTCAGTAGTAAAGAGGCCTCAAGTATGAACTTTGGCTTTAGAGTATGGCGTTACCCAGTTTCCTGTCTAAGTATTTTTATTTGCTGTAACTTCAATTTCTTACACTGCTCAAATGCTTCTCCAAATGAATTTGTGAAACTCTTTATTAATAGATGTCCAAAGCTTCAACAGATTAATTTCATGACTGATGTTACTTGATGATGATGATGTCTGATCTTTTTTTTGTTTTGTAATTTAGTTCAGTGATCCTAATTAGTTTCTTTCTCAGTAAATGTGATTTTTTTTTTTTTTTTAAATGAGTCAAATATAATGCAGATGGAAAAAAAAAAAAGGCAGACTCCAACTCTAATAAATGGAAGTCTTCCAGGGTTGGGGTTCTTTTTCAGATTCTGTCAAAACTTACTGTGTTTTGCATCTCTGAAGCAAGCAGAAAAAAATCATGAAGAAGACCTGTTGTTTGTTCCTTGAAACTTAACCATTTATCATACAGAAATGAGAAAAGCATGCTTAAACTATGTCCACACAAGAGCTTTTTAAAGATATACCTATTCAGTCAGGATCTAAGAAGTGTCTTACTGTTTGGAGGGGGGCTTTAGCTCTGAGCTAGTGCAGTCTTTAATACTCAAGTGTTAGTTAGTTGACATCCTGGAAGCAGCCAGCCACTGTAACCTAGCATGAGAGGATGAGTGAATTAGTACCTGCTGTGTTGGATGCTGGCTGGAATTGGATAACTTAGCTCAGCTAGCAGTAGTTATCAGATCTGGTTTGCAGCTGTAGCAAGCAAGCTACTGAAAGTAACAGTAGTAATACAAGAGAACTCTTGGAGCTGGACAGTTAGATAGTATCTCAGTTATCTAAATTACCTAGACTTCAGTTATATTGGGTTCTGCTCAGCATTACTCAGTGTAAAAAGATAATGTTTGTCAGGCAGACTTTCCAGTTATGCCCTATTGTTAAGTGTCTGTCTTGTTATGGATAAACTTCATTACATAACAGATTAGAGTCAGTCACTGTATATTCATGCTGCTTCTAGCACTGGTGTTTTCCTTGAAATTATGCAGTTATGGCCATGGTGGATCTGGGATAGCAGCATTCATTTAGTGCTGGATCCCAGAATTTTGTTGTTGTGGAAAGCAGAGTCTCAGTTTTAGAGAAGCACAAGGTAAGGTGGGCCAAGCCAGGGATATATGCCACTGAGAGGCAAGTTACACCTTCCTTAGGCCCCTGTTGTTTATTTGTGAAGGTAGGGGAGCACACTATCTGTGTTTAAGCATTGCCCTGTCCACTGTATTTTCCTGTCATCAGGTTGTGTTTTCCTCAAAAGGATGACCTCTTCACCTTAGAGAACAATTTAATTATTTGTTAATTATTTCTGTAGTTTTCTTGGTTTTTTTCTTTTTTTCCAGTTTGGAGAATGAAATCAAAAATTTGCTTCTGGTTGATTGCAGTAGATAGAAGGGTAAGATATTCCTACAGGAAAGACTGGTGGTTTGCAAGAAGTCATTCTTGTCTAACTGTCCATTTTTAATCCAGTTCTGTTCTTCTCTGTGGGAAAACCTGTTCCAAGTTAAAGTCCTAAAAGTTATCTTCATTATAATTCACAGAATCATAGAATAGTTAGGGTTGGAAAGGACCTTAAGGTCATCTAGTTCCAACCCACATGCTATAGGCAGGGACACTTCATCCCTTTTCATTCTTGAGACAAAGCCTAAGCGATTCCAGAGTATATCTAGACATCCTTTACGGTAATTTTTTCACATTTAGTCATCCTCACATCAGCTTGACAGAAGGAGAGACAAGTTTTTGCAGCAGGCCAGCTCACCAGACAGCCCCCAAAATGGGGATTTTTGGCCTGGCTGTTGTCAAGAGGTGTGCATGGGCTTCCTGGCTAGTTACTTCATCGTATCTGTGGCATTTCACACCAATAGCAATGCTGGACTTCCCTTTCCTAAGCAGGCAAAGTTGTACTTCAGCTCCGAAGGTACTGAGATGGAAGCTGTTTGGACATGGAAGGGAGCTGAAGCTTCTGTATCTGAAGGAGGGATGATGTGGCTTGTTGAAGCCCACTACCCATCCTCCTATGAGGAGGAGAGATGCTGTGTTAGCGTCCTCAGTCATCAAGCGGCCACAGCAGAATGCAGTTCCTGTTATAGAGAAATCCTGTAGCAGAAGACAGACATGTTGAATGCCTTAAGTGTTGGAAGGGCTGTAAAGCACATGCTTCACTAAACATACAAGATAACTGGCAAGGGTTTCTCTGCTCTGTAGTTATTTTTTTTTTTTTAGTGTCTAATAAGATGTGCTCTACTGTGTCTTAACAAAAGACTGGCATCTTTGATGGAATTTATTTGTTCATTAAAATTAAAACATTGAGAGCTATCTGCCCGTATTCCTTTAATTTTGTTCTTTTTTTTTTTTCTTTTTAACTATATTTAGGTTTCTACTTGGAAAGAATAGCATCTATTAAAGTATACTGTCTTTACTTAAAAAAACCCCCACAAAGTAAAATGTAAGTTATAGTTCAACTTCACTGAACATGACAGAAGTATGTTACATTTACAGTTTTGTTGACTATGTTAAGGGTCCTATTATGTTCAGCAAATTCATCTTGCTGAAAGCCTGTAGTGATCAGCATATAGAATAGGCTGAACATAGTCGCTTAGTTCATATTTCTTTCTTTTTAATGCAAGAAGGTTATTATCTAGTACTAATGCAAGGCATTGAGAGCTTCAGTTGTTTTTCTGATTGCTGCAGTCCTCCAAACAGTGAGCTTCACAGAGAACAAGTTAATGTCTCATAATGAAATCACACCATGGAACTGTTCATACCCATCAGGAGTTTTTTTCTTTTAAGTACATGACATGGTTGTAATCATTGCTGTTTCAGTTACAGGTATTTTGGTGAAGAAAAATGAATGAAATCATACGGCTTCTTTGCACTTACTTCATTGGCAAAAATGCAGAAAGTGTGATTAACTTCAGTTCTTTTTACATATGTGAATACCTTCACCCGCTTGATGATAAAATCATGTACTCTTTGGCCATGAATATTATCTGCATAGTATAACAGGGCACGTTTTTGCAGAAGCTATTAAATGTGTACATTATTTTCACAGATCCAACAGAGAAGGTGACTATTCAAGTGCTGTCACAAAGTAGTACAGTTAAAGAAGGCGATAACATCACTCTGAAGTGCTCAGGAAATGGCAACCCTCCTCCACAGGAGTTCCTGTTTTACATTCCAGTAAGTCCTGCCTTGCTGTCACTGCGTAGTGAAATATTCTGTATTGTCCCTTTCTGCAGATACTGCTACATGCCAGCGTATACGTGATTTTATAACAAATGAAGGAGGGAATCCAATGCAACAAAACCTAAAGATAGACATCAGCCATTACATCAGACTCTCAGAATGCCTCACTTGAGTTGTCAAAATTTTTTTAAAAAACATCTTCTTCCCCCCACCCCACCTGAAGTGTTTTGAGGCTTGGACCAACTAAAAATTACTAGGCTTCATTTCCAGTCATCAGATATTCTGATAAGAAGCAGTTTTGACTAAAGCAATTCAGCATCTTGAATAAAACAGTCTCATCTGTTGTCATAACAGACAAAGATCCAGCAGTGAAAGTACAGGAAATCAATTCATCTATTTTTTTTTTATTTATTTTTTTTTACTTTAACTGATGAATCGTTGTGCAATTTCTTTTCTTCAGTTAATTTATTAATTGCTTGGTGGCATAACAACACCAAAAAGAACAAGTGTGACAGCACAAAAGAAAGTGTAGAAAAAAATCTGTCAAATGCATAAGATGCACGGTGCCATTAATCTTCTCAGTATTGGTGAAATTCACAGACAGATGGGGCTTTATATTCCTAGTCCTGCTTCCTGCATCCTGCTTCTTTTTCCTATTTTATATCCTTTTTTTGTTCCTACCGCAATAGTGAGCAGAGCTGTTTTTGAGAGAGGCTAAAGGCAATGGCATGCTTCAAGGTATTTAAAAAACTGCCTTTTGTACATAATCCTCATCTACTTTGGATGCCTGGCATGTTTGAATGGCTGAAGAGCAGCAAGGGAAACTAGGAGCTGAAGACCTCTTATCTCAGAACAGCCATTTAGATTCAGTGAGTCATGCCGGGAACCCACTGCCGGGGAAGAAAGTATATAGTATCTCCCCTTGCTCTGCTATCACAGTGAGTGAGCTAAGCACCCAGGTTTGTCTTACCTTTGGTATCCCTCTACCTGATACTAGTCCTTGCTCTCAAGAAGAGTTGGAATTGGTGATTTCTTTGCAAGACTCATGGGTATCTTAAATCTCTTTCTGAATTCAGAGGTACAAATTGGGGTTTCATTCTATGCTTGTTTCAAATGTGATTTAAGTCAGTCAGTTGTGATCAGGGGGGAACTGGGCAGACAGAAAGCAATGCTTGTTGCATAATTTAAAGCACCAGTTTTTGTAGATAAATGCATATAAAGTAGCATATAACCTAACAGACTCCATACCGTGATGTGGATAGAGCAAGGTTGGTTTGTGCTGTTTAAAAACTGTGCAATGCAGTACACTTCATAATTTTTCCTGAACTGAATATATCATTTCAGATACAGATTTAGAAACACAATTTGTTTTGCTGTTGTGATTTCTACAACACTCTTATTCGTAGACTGTTTGTCTCCTGTTTTCTCCTATTTTCTTTCTGCTAAATGTTCAAATTTTGTATGTTAATAGCCTCTTAAAATAAGTTAATCATTCAATTAAAAGAGTAAGCTCTAATTGCAGGTGGTTTTTAATACTCTGGTGTCATGCAGGAAATAAATCTTAGTATTATTTAACAGGTAATAACACTTCAATGATGCTGTGTCTATACATATTTTGGAGTATTTCACTACCCTTATAATAAAAAAAAATCCTTATCAGAAACTAATCTTTTTAGCAGGCCTGTATACAATAAATGTTGTTTTCCATCCACAGGGAGAAACAGAAGGTATAAGAAGCTCAGATACTTACGTCATGACAGATGTGAGGCGAAATGCAACAGGAGAATATAAGTGCTCTCTGACTGACAAAAGCATGATGGACTCGACCACCATCACTGTGCATTGTAAGTCATTGCATTTTGCACTCCTAGTTAGGATACAAACCTGTCTGGGACCTTTTGGGATGATCTCTCTCTGCTTTATCTAGGTAGATTAGTCCAGTTACCCTACAGAACTGAATGATGTTGTCAAAGTAGCGTCAGGGCATTTTTATTTTTTCTAAAGTATTTCTGTTTGAAAACCTTAACTTCCTCGATTCATTGACCTAAATAGATTCTCTTTAGGTAACCTTTGTATACTGGGATATTATTGCACTGTCACATACAGTGAAAATTCCAGTACTTTGTTTCACTCATGTGAACATATAAATGGCAAATCATGTTCCAGCTGCACTTTGGAATCTACTCAAACATACAGACCAGCCCACCGGTATCACTGAAGGTCATTCTTCATAGTCAAATTCACATTAATCTAATATCCTCTTATCTTTCCTCAATGAGGTTAATGTGTAAGTCTAGGGAATAGACTTAGGAATTCATTATGTCTACACAGGACAAGTTACTTTTTTTGCTTTTGCCAGAATCATGAGAGCTACAGTGCTCAGTAAAGTTTCTTTAGCTGGATACTAGAGTATTTAAAAGCACTTTGAAATTTGAAGTATTTAAATGACTTTGAAAGCAGTCATTGAACTCGTTGAACCATTGAAACAAAGATTGCTTTTCAATAGTTGCTTTTAATCTCTTTATGTGAGAAAACAAGAGCAGGAAATCCTTCGAACTTCGGTATACTATCACAGGCTGTGAAATGAGACTCAGGCCAATGGTACTAGGTTTCCCCTAAAAACATTGGTTGTCTGTAGTCTTGGAAAAGGTACAATGCGTACAGAAAATATCCATACATGAATAATTACACTATTCCATTTAATGAATATTTTGCATTTAATAAGGTCATCTGTTTTCCTACCCACTCCTTGTCTTTGACAAGAGTCAGGGTATGTAAGATGTGAAGAGAGCTCTGTAGTACTGCCACTAGCTTAGCTGCTCAATGACAAAGGTAGCTTGCTGGTAGTTTGCTGTGGTACAGCTGACCCTTTTATTTTATTCCAAGTGGATTTCAGGTCTATTTGTACTTCCATAAATAGTTACTGTAAAGAATGGCTTCCTCATCTCCAAGTTATTTATAACAAGCCAATTTTCCTTTCTCTGCTATTTTGTCTGTACGTCAGAAGAGCTTTACTATAGAAGAGAAGCATGTATTTTCTTGACAGAAGTCCACTCAAGTACCCTACTGCTTCTCATCAATTACGGTTCATTTTGTGTTGTTTTGTTTTGTTTTTTTTTTTAAAACACCTCTATCTGCTATAAAGCCTTTACTTAACCGAGGCATAGTGGCCTGGAGTAGTTCTGAAATTCCTGAATGCCCAGACCATGCCTTATCTTTAAGCTACTTCAGTGTCTTGCCTTATGCTGGTCTAAAGCATATATGCAGCATGTTTGCTTGTGAGAAGAACTCCCCTGAAAAAGCCATAAACCTCTTAGATGCTCTGTAATATCCTTCTTCATCTTTCAATTGCCTGCATTATATCAACTTTCCAGCGTAACTCAGTAATTTCTACTGCATTCGTCTTCTAATGTACTTACATATTTTTGGTGCTACAGCTTCAGATTTTATTTTTTTTAATACTTCCATGATAGATTTTTGTCCTCCAAATACTGCTTATTAATACCTATAAAATCCTACTTTTTGTCCTCCTTTTGCTTTCTTGCTTACCTTTTCACATACGGATGAATATTGCTGTCTATGCTCTTACACTGAAAAAGCCTTCATTCTGAGGCAGGGCTTTTTGTTTCCTCACATCTAATCTTGGCACTTCAGATTTTCTTATTTTCACTTAAAAAAACCAAACCAAACAAAAAACCACTGAACAAACAACCAACCAACCAAAGAAGCTAAAACATACAAAAAAAAATCCCAAAACAAAATGAAAAAAACCCAAACAAAACAAACAAACCAAACCCAACCCCAAAAGCAATCAAAACCAGAAAAAAACCCAACCCAAAACTACAGTAAAAACCAGTCAATATAATCATTTTAGTTTAAATCTGTGAAACTACTTATAGTAATTTGTTACATTTTGACTCTAACACTTTTTCCCAAACAGATTTTATTGAGCATTGTAATTACACTGGTTCCTTGCAGTGTGTAGGTAGGGAAAAGTTGCTTGCTGGTATGAGAGTACATTATCACATTGTAGCCTTTAAATATCTTTGTAGCAAAATATTCTGGCTCAATACCATGCTCTTGTTTTCCAAAATGAATGTAAATTGTGAGATTCACAGCTGAAAACTGACATTAAAGCACCTTGGTTACTCAATGTTTTAGGAAATACTTTATTTATAAAGTAAAGTGAGGAGGGAAGAGTGTCTTCCTTTACCCACAGAACATAAGGGAAAAACTAGACAACCTGAGCTCTTGCCCCCCAGAGCACATGCAGGATCTGTGCAGCAAAACCTGAGTTTAAAGTCCGGCAGAACCAAGTGGTTCTGTGGTTGGTGGACTTTGTCCCTCAACAGAGGATGCAACAGAATAGGACTGATATTGTGGGTTTAGTTTCTTTATATTAGGTTGTTAATTTTCTGCTAGCTCTGTTCCTTGAGTGAGTTTGCCCAGCCAGGCAGGGGACTGGTGCAAAGACTTTTTACAACCACTTAAATACTGCTATAGTAGAACACTCTGTGCAAGGTAAGGAAAGCATCTAGCAGTAGAGAATGGGCATGCATTCCCTCAGCTATGAAAAAGTTGATGACTGTTTCAACTCATGATTCCTTTTCTTTATCTCTTGCTGTAGTTGTTTCTGCATGTAAAATCTAGTATGGAGTAGGGCTGTGGAACTTGCTCTGTGTGATGCTTTCCTTTCTACTAAAATGTGTTTTCTGGGGAAATAGGTTTGCAAACCTTCTAGTAAATCAAAGGTTTTAGAAATACAGCATCTGTGTTTCTCTGTAGGTACTTTTAATAGTCTTTTCTTGTGCTACAGACTCATTGAAAATACAGGGAAAATTACCTTTTGAATGTTGCATGGAAAAATCTATTCTCAGTATACTAAGAGAAGTTTCTTCTTGTTTGCTAGTGTATTTAGGGAGCTCAGACTACAGGCAAGTGCTGTGCATAGTTCTCCCAGTCATAGCACAGTATTCCTTCAGAGATTTCCTTTAAATGCTGGGAGCCTGTCCTGTAAGTGCAATAGAGTTTCAGAACTGAAATGTTTACTACAGTCTTCCCCACATCAGTTCGACACCTTTCTCACATGATATGTTAATACATGCAAAATGCATTCTCTGTCTCTTCCCTGTGCTACTTGGTATGCACAGACAGTACTGAAATCAATGCAAGACTTCAAGTGAGACCACATTAACAGCTATCATATATTGAAAATGGTGCCTGATGAAAAGTTTGTTTATGAAGAATGTTTCAAAGCCAAACAGGAAATGTATGAAAAAATTTTTGCAACAAAGTTTTTCTTTCAGTGGCAAGGAAGATTAATTTTGACAGTCTTCTGTATGCAAGAAATATTTTTCTCCTCATACTTATGTTCCAAGAAGAAATTATTTACTAATGGAGCATATAAGTTGAGAGGTGGAAGCATCTCCATCACATTTCTTTGTGGACCCTACAGATAAACTGGCAGAATATTAATCCAAATGAAATTGGCCTCTGTAGAGTTCCTAGCAAGAATCCTATGTTAAAGAGTAGCCTAATTCTGTACTTGCTTCATAAATCACCTTAGAAATATTGCTCTGAGGTGTGTGGTTCATCTCGCACACTGTAAATTCTCCTGAACTTCTAAAGCAACCAAGACCGCTGTGTGAGAGGGATTGTATTCTCAGTTATAGCCTCCCCCCCAAAAAAATGAGGTAGGGGCATCACAGGCATGCTTTCCTACAGAAGACTGGACTGAAGGATTGCTCTGGGCTCAGTGTCAGTCTTGCCTGAGATGAGGGCCAAAAATTTAATGAGTTTCTGCTTCCTGTAGCATATGTGAGAAGAATCCCTCCTGTATGGTCTTTGGTGATCTCTCTGGTTTGAGGTGCTTTCCTGCTTCAGAGAACAAAAGGTTTAAGTAGATGTTGAAGAAAACTCACACTGAGGGCAGGTAAAAAAACCTCTTAGCTTTTTCTTCAACCACCCCTCTGCCTTGGTAGTATGTGCTCAGGAATAAGAGAGCAAGAAGAAACATCCTGTAAACTATTTGAATCTATATATAAATACTCCCTGGCTGAGTCTTGTCTTTATTAATTTTTATTTTTATTTTTTGCTTGTGGAAGCAATGGTAAGATCTGGAGAGTCTTGTTAGTTTGGTTGCATTTACTACTTTGGGGCGGCTGTGTGAGAAATCCCCACAGGAATACAGCAACAAAATGCCATTTTATCTCTTTCGTAAGATCTTTGCTTTAGTCATGCACAGATGAAAGTACTCTTCTTGTGACCTCTTGGGCTAGGTATTAAGACTTGTAACACAGATAATAATTCAGACTAATAGTGCAGGATGGACCCTAGTTGTTCCCTGAAGTTCTGCCTTTAATTACTATGGTGTTCCCAGGGCAACCACTGAATGAAACCAGGAGCTAAGTTCAGTGTTTTGTTAAGAAAAACTCACTGTTTTCCCTTTCCTCTACCAACTGTGATTTTTACCTCAAGCATTTTTAAACTCTGCTTAAAAGCCAAAAGGATGTTTTGCAGTCCTTTTCCAGCAAGTACTGTATCAGTGATGAGCTCATGTGTGCTTGCCATTTGATAGCGTACGTCTCCGTGTGTGCATCTGTGATAGTCATTCGACCAGGCAACTTGGCTTACAAGCAAGGAACCATGAGAGGGGAAGCAAAACAGAGGTTTAGCTTGCCAAACTCTGCTTTTCTCAGTGTAGGTTTTTTTTTTTTAAATTTTATTTTTTTTTTTAAGAAATCACTAGCCCACCAAATCCGCATACTAAGAAAAATGTAGAGAACTGTTTCCTGATGTTTCTGTTACTGGCTTCACCCTGCCTTGTGTCAGACAAAGCTATTGCTGACTGCAATTTCTGTGGAGTTAAAACAGCTCATGCAAAGACTGGAGTTAAACAAAAATGACTTTTAAAGTTACAAATGAAAATAATAAATGAGAGGGCCTCGGGCCTCATGTGTGGCCCCCCAACCCTATAATTCAGACTCATCTCCCCTTCAGTCAGTATCATGTCTCATACATACTGTATTTGACTGTCTTCATCCTCTCCAGATGCTGAGGACAAAAGTTAACTTGTTTTATCACATTTGAGAAAGTTACCCCTTGTCCTCCTCTCCTCTTCATCGCACTCATTATTTAGGTTAATGTCTCCACCTGCACAAGTCCTCCCCTGAAGATTCATTTCTACCTGGCCCATAGCAAGCTACCTTCACAGCAGTCTGTGCTTCCCCTTTCAAGATGCACTTGCTGCTAAGTGAAGTACTCCTTGCACCTTCTCTGTCAGTCTTTTCGCAATACAATGTGAAAGAAAAAAAATCCATTTGTCTAGTGATTAGTGAATTTTTGCTTTTCCTTTTAGCCTTTAATTACAGCAAAAAATGTGAATGTTCTGCAATGCCTATTTTAGAATAATTCTGTCTTCTCCCTTACTTGTAAAATTGACTTAGATTGTATTGAAGAAATGAAATCTTGAATTTAATGAGTGCAATTAGTCACATTTTTCTTTCCTTGGTAAGCCTTTGAAATGGGCCAGGCTTTCAGAGATTAACTTCTGACAAATGTTCTTTCTCTCCCAGATTTGGATTTGCAGCTTACTCCTAGTGGAGAAGTCACAAAACAGATTGGAGAGGCCCTGCCTGTGTCATGCACAATTTCTTCTAGTAGAAATGCAACAGTGTTTTGGATAAAGGTCAGTAATTCATCTACTTCACACTTCATCTGAGTGTTCACCTCTTCATATTACTGCTGCTACTTCAGCGTTTTGGAAGGAAGGAAGGAAGTTGTTCATTGGGGTTTTTAAAGAATATTGTTAAAACGAGTCTTACACATATGGCTAAAATGAGAGCAACTGACTCAAGTTGATGACTAAAAATCAGTTACTGTAATTATCATCTTAGTTTTCAACTGGAGAGAATTAGTACCTACTGTAACACAAATAGAACTTTTTTGCAATGGTCTGTACAAGGCCCTTTGAGAATCAAGTCGCTCTTAGAAAGAAGCCTTTTGGAGGAATTTTGGGTTCATTAATTGTTTTCTCAGAAGCAGTCTTGGTCTTGATTCCAATAAACATAATGAAAGGGGAGAGCAGGTTGAGAGTTCATTGAATGTTTGCAACAGGTTTTCAGTGACTGGTGAAAAAGGTAGCTAGCATAGATGCTGTGTTTAAATAAAACATGTACTGCTGGAAACTAAAAATAATGATACATGATGGTGGTTTGGTAGCATATGTTGATCTCATAAGCCTGGCCTAGAGGATAGTTGTCAGTGTCTCAGTGTGTTTATGCCCTTGATTTAAAAGCAAAGTTGTTCAAGAATAAGGGAGGTAGCGTTTATAAATCTCCAGTACTTTCCACTTTTCATGCTGTTATGTTGCTGCCAGCTATACAAATGAAGTTATTAATGGGGGAGCACTTTGAGAGTAAGGCTCTAATCTACCAAAGCATGTGAAAAAATTCTGTTGATAGTAGTCACATTTGTAATTTAGAAGTTAATGTATTGTGAGTTAGAATTCACAGAGATTAACTCCTTACTTTATTAGGACAATACCAGAATGCAAACAAGTCCATCATTTTCAAGTCTTCAGTATCAAGATGCTGGAAACTACATCTGTGAAACTACTCTGCAGGAGGTGGAAGGTTTAAAGAAAAGAAAGACACTTAAACTTATTGTGGAAGGTAACGGAGCAGATAGCTATGATTATTAATTGTCCTTTTCAAACAGAGTGGTTAACTGTAATGTTGTTCTTGTAGGAAAACCTCAAATCAAGATGACAAAGAAAACCAACACAAATAAAATGTCTAAAACAATTGTCTGCCATGTGGAAGGTTTCCCCAAACCAGCAGTGCAATGGACAGTTACTGGCAGTGGAAGCATCATAAATAAAGCAAGTACCTTTCTATTACTTCATTCACCAAAATGTAGTGCATTGGAGGTGCAATTTTAAATCAAAGAGCATTTTCCAGGTAGTGACATTGAAGAAGTTAAGTCTATTTCATTTATCTAAGAGAAGGTTAAGTAGTAGCTACAGCTACATGGTGCTTATATGGATGATTTCTGATGATAAAGGTCTTTTGAATAGAGCAGTTGAAGGCACAGAAGATCCACTGGCTGCAAGCCAAAGCTGGCAGGGGAAAAAAAGGTTACAAATGAAATAGGCATTTTTAAGTTAAGTGAAGGTACCTTAGTTGTTTTATCTGGGTAATGTGGTGATTTTGCCGTTGCATAAGGAATTTAAAAATAGTGATGGAACTATAGAACTGACATTAGAAAGAAAATGGGTACTTGATGTAAGCATTAACTGGGTAAAATGTAATGAAATGTAGCAAGTACAAGTCAGAAAATACAGTCAATATAGTTCCTTATGGGCTTTGCAGTTTTTATCCTAATTTTTATAGTTGTTTTTGTATGGTTGTGCCTGTGGTTTCTCACTGGAAACAGAACCATAATGCAGTCATCCTGGGGGAGAAATAAGAAGTACTCATACACATCAGGAAAAAAATACCTGGAAAATAAGCAAACTGAAGTATTTTCATATTGATTAATGAATCACATGCAAAGCATTGCCACATTTTGCCTTAGCAGGGAAAATTAGATATTTATACAAGCAGTCAGAGACTGGAAGTACAATGCACAGTGCTCCTATAGATTTTATTACTCCATTAGGTTTTGTTCTAATCCTACAGAAATTACGTATAGCTATCAAAATTTGTCTATTTACTTGAAGCTATAGGGCAGGAATTGTCTTGAAGCTACATAAATGATTGAAAACAATTTTGTCTGGTATTGTATTAATCTAAGAATGACGTGCAGCAGATTTAAGGAACAACATCAGAATATTACAGTACAGATAGTGCAGATGCTACTAATACATGTAGCTTGGCAAAATAGTGTGGAAACAACTTGGAAAAATGAAAGTGGAAAACTTTGTGAAAGGAAAACTGATTATTTTCCTTATAAAGACATAAATGAAAACCAACAAGATAGAAATTAGACCTTAGGAGTTTGTTTGGGGTTTTTTGTCGCTTGGAATATTTTTCTAATAGTCAAAAAAACAAAAGCAAATATGTGGTTAACTTTCTGAAAAATGCTTCTTTATCAAGTGGTCTTAGAGAGCACACTATACAAAATGTAGCTATAACTGGATATCTTGGCCAAAGTGGTTTTTTTCAAATACATTATCACTAATAAAATAATGCATTATTTCTGTTGCTGCTGTTTGGAAAACTGAAATAGTGGTAGAAAGTTATTTCCCTCCACACATTTTCAATGTGTAATACAGACAATGCATGCATTGTTCTTTCATTTTCAAGGATATTAATCTTCATTTCTTTTTTACCTTTTCAGACAGAGGAGACCAAATACGTTAACGGAAAATTTTCCAGTAAAATTGTAATTGCTCCTGAGGAAAATGTGACTTTAACTTGCATTGCAGAAAATGAGCTAGAAAGGACTGTGACCTCTCTGAACGTCTCTGCTAGTGAGTGTCTTGTAAAGACCATTTCCTTAAAGTTATAGTATCACATAAAATACCCCCTTTACATTCACATGAAGAGTAGGTCTGCATGGTAATGTTGATACAAAGATATTTAACCTTTTTGTTCTTAGTCAAGCAGTTGTAAATCCACTCTGGATCAGTAGTACATAACTGTAGTACTGGATCCACTCTGGATCAGTAGTACATAGCTTTCTGAATGAAGTCGCTTAGTCTTCGTAACTTTCTTGGCTAGCTATCTCATGTATACAATATATTATTTACAAAAGTAAATGTTACAAAGTAATAGCACAAAATAATAGTACAAAATTACTGCAAAATAATACATTAAGAGACGTCATTCTTTATTACTAAATTAGCACTGTCTTTTAGTTCCCACATTCCAGTTTATTATTACTGAAATGACTTGGAACAGAAATCAGCCATACTGAGCTTTAATCAAATATCACTTTTCAGTGATGACAGATGGTGAAATGATACAGTTTGTGGAAGGGTAGCACAAAAATACTGAGTCAGAAATATTTCTAAATTAATATTATAGGTTTTGAATAAGATTCTTCAATTGAATATTTTATAGTTACAAAGGAAAGACTTCTGTTTACCAATAAGATTAATTACTTTGTTATTTGACAAATACCATATTAAGTTTCTGGTTTTGTCATTGCTGTAAATAGGCAATTAAAGGTGATGTTCTGGTATAATACATTTTGTCTTCAATTTAATCTGAATATTTTTTCATTCCAGTAAATATTCCAGAGTATGATGAGCCAGAGGATAGAAATGGTATGTATGGTTTTCTGTTTCCATAACCTTTTATGTTGACTGTCTCAGTTCAAGACCTGTGTAGTGTTATTGAACAATTTCCACAGTCCCTCAAAGATGTATTTGATTTGAAATAGCTGGTGCCATGATTGACTAAGAATCACAGAATCAGCTGGGTTGTAAAAGACCTTTAAGGTCATCAAGTCCAAACATTACCCCAGGACTGTCAAGTCCACCACTAAACCATGTCACTAAGGGCCTCATCTACACGTTTTTCGAACACTTCCAGGGATGGTGATTCCACCACTTTCCTGGGCAGCTTGTTCCAATACCTGATCCCCCTCTCTGTGAAGAAATTTTTCCCAATATTCAATCTAAACCTCCCCTGGCGCAGCTCGAGGCCATTACCTCTTGTTGTATCACTTGTTAGTTGGGAGAAGAGACCAGTCACCTCACTACAACCTCCTTTCAGGTAGTTGTAGAGAGTGATAAGGTCCCCCCTGAACTTCCTCTTCTCCACAATAAACACCCCAGTTCCCTCAGCTGTTCCTTGGAAGACTTGTTCTCCAGGCTCTTCACCAGCTTCTCTGGACCCCCTGCAGCAACTCAATATCTCTCTTGTAGTGATGGCTCCAGAACTGAACACAGCATTCAAGGTGCAGCCTCACCACTCCTGAAGCTTTAAATGTGTTTTTAAGAACAATGCCTATTTTTTTTTCTTTTAATTTTGATTTTCAGACCCATTCTTTTGTTTCTAATGGAAATTCTATAAAAATGGTGTCAAGCTTTCCCCTCATTAACTTTTCTTCTTTGCTTCAGATGACAATAGTGAAAAGGTTAATGACCAGGCAAAGCTAATAGTGGGGATTGTAGTTGGTCTTCTGCTGGCTGCTCTGGTTGCAGGTGTTGTCTACTGGCTCTATGTGAAGAAATCAAAGTAAGAATTTATAGAAAACTTGATACTAAATTAAGAATAATGCTAAACAGAAATGTATGTTTACCTGTTTTCCCTCCTGCAGCATTCTAGTAGTCTGAGGAAAAGTTGATACAGCAGGTAGAAAAAAGAAACTTGGTACCTCTGACCAGTTTGTCCTAATGCTTAGCAGGCTTCATTTGCTGGAAGTGGTGTTCCAAGACTTTCATAGACCAACACCTGTAATGAGGTTCTCTTTCCTTACAGCCAAGTCTGTGCTTATTCTTGTATTTAAATATAGTACCTGCTACTTAACTGTGGGATGTAAGCTCTGTGTGACTTTACTGGTGTTAGAAACTGCCTTCATTTAGATGTTGTGTAGTTTGTTTACTTTAAAAATCGAATAAATTACAGAATCTATCAAGTTTACACCACCTCAGGTACAAGAGAGATCCTTAATTGATTTATTTGTTCATATATACTTTGAGATCTCTGAAGTAAAATTGATAATGACAGACCTTGTGTTGCTGAAAATCTGGAAGCTGTCATCTAAATCAATATGTTTTATCTGTCTTACACATAGAACAGGATTTGCCAGTGAGGCCTGCTTGCTTTCAAGTTTCTTCATTATTACACAGGCTCACTTTAGAATGTAAACTGGATAATCTCAAAAAGTAACCATGTTTATCCATCCTTTTAAAGATGGCCGTAACTGTATGCCATTTGGCCTTACCCCCATACATTTTTGTCTCCATGGAGAACTGAGGCCAAGTTTACTTTCTGAAGGGTTCTTACAGCTGTCCCTTTAAGGGAAGATTAAGGTAATTTTATGCATACCATGCACAAATCAGTACAGGTAGAGAAGCAATCTTAAAGTTCAGTTGTTCTTTCTGTGACCTTCTGTTAAAATTAGATCGAATGAGATCTAAAATACACTAGTGGGATTTTACTATGAACAAATGTCTTCATGTGAAAGTACAACAAGGAATTCTCCATCTGCTTGCAAATGTTCTTTTTGGGATAATATATAGGATTTTACTCCAGCCATAATGGAGCAGGTTTTGGAAGTTTTTCAAATAAAGGATTGCTATAAATTACCCAAGCACAGAACCACATTCAGATATTTTACAGGAAAAAAATATCTTTTGCAAAGCTTATGCTTCTTTTGGTATAAATTAAAAAGTAATAATGTTGAGCTCCTTTTCCTGTGTTTTGCTACTGGTGTAATACTGTCTAGAATAATTTCCTTTTGTCTTTCCTTTTTGAATATGAGAATGTGGAATCATGAAACTGTGATTCACTGGTTTGGGTTATCTTTTCTTCTATTATGTAGTGTGGGGAAAGCTAACAAACTTAGAACACAGCATGTCCTTTGCTGAGATGAGGTTATGACTTCAGATAACTTTTTCAGCTTGAAAGACAGGATACAGCATATTCTAAATGGACAACACCTCCTCATGCTCAACTTCTTTTCTACAAGCTTAGAGTAAAAATTAGAGCTAGAATTAATTAGACAGGTTCACCAGGAGCAAAATAAAAATCCCTTTATAGTTAAGTAATAGTCTCCTATATTTAATAAATACGTGGTTGCTGGCTTCTGAAACCCTTAATTGATGCATAATCACTTAAAATCTCCTGTTCTCAGGATATATTTAAGTTGATCTTGTTATCCTCCCTGCTTTCAGTACGCCATACTTGCAAGAGCAAGCAGTGTCACTAACTATTCAGACAGTTTTAATTTTGAATTATAGTCTATAAATCAAAGTAGACTTTGCAAAAAGCACCTTACATCTGTAAACACAACCTGTGACTAATCACAATCCCCTCCACCTCCATACAGGCCAATAGTTAGTAGTTATTTTTTGAACCCACTCATGAACAGTAACTCACCTAATCTCTATCCCCAAAGTGACGCCAAAGGAAAGTCTGAGAAGGCAGCAGCACAGAGCTTTCCAAGTCTACCGAGGCAAGAAAAAAATTACTTTTTTTTCATTATTGGTGTTGTGGTTTGTATAATCTTCTATTGTCTTGTCATCCACACTAAGTAGGAATTCCACTTGTAGTCTTGGAATATATTCACAATAAGTCGCTTATAATTATTCACTGCCTCAGCTCTACTTGATGTGAAAGCTAATTATTGCCACATATTTTTACTATGGTTATTATCCAGTAAATCAGGGACTCGTGTATTCCACATCCTGAAACCAGCCACCTCCTGAATAAAGAGTTAAGGCTACCTACCCCAGCATGCCATGTTTCTCCTTCATCTGAGCAGAAGGCCAAAAAGACACATTTTCTACAGATCTCTCCTTTTTTTTCCAAGAAGGATATTTTAAACTAATTTGCACCAAACAGAATATAACTTAGCACTTCAGAAGCTTTTTAAAACTTTTTGTGTCAGACCTCAGTTGAGTGATTCTAGGACACCCATCTTCAGTAAATCCCTTACATGAAATTTTCACCTTGCTAGAAACAGCTGATGAGACTACAACAGAAATTAAAGATTTAGAAAGAAAAATAATACATCCAGCCCCCTGTGTCCCTGTTCATGGAAGTTTTACATGTAGATTGGACCTTTGTCCCATTTTTGCTCCTGGGGTTTGGAGGGGCACAAATTTCAAGTCACATGAGGCTAGATCAAGGTTAAAGTGGTTTAAAATGCAGTGAAGGAGAATTCAGCTGGGCAAATTGAAGCGCAGCAGCAGTCTTAAGATTGTTCATACTCAGAGCATACCAAACTCTTGAAATTCTGCTTAGGTCACAGTAATCAAGAATGTTATTAGTATCTCTGAAACTGAACATTTGAAGCATAACATTCTGCTTTTCTGATACCTTAGAGGAAATAAGCATATGAATCCAAATGTGGCAGGCCAAATAGGTAGGAAACTTGCTGCATGTTTTGAACAAGACTCAGCATTTGTGCTGTTTTCACACAGATCACTTATAGGGAAAAGATGAAGTTACAAACATCTCTGAAAGCGTCAGTTCATGTCATAAATCTATAAAAGTGGCATGAATTAAAAGATGATCACTTGTTTCTTGATGACTGGATTATTTTTCTAATATCTCTGACTTTATTCCTACTGGTGAACATTTGAAAATAATGAGAGGAAGTGGAAAGCAAGATGGGGGTAAATAGAGGCTGCAAATAATCTAGATTTGGATGTATAAGACTGTTTACCTCTTAGAAAATCTTCCGCAACTGCGCAGTTGAGTGTGTAACATGCCTTGCAAAAGTAATGCGTGGCTTTTGCTTCAGCACCCAGAACTACACTAATGTGTATTCTTCTTATCTGTCATTATCACAAACTTGGTTAACAAGGACAAAGAGCACAGCAGATTATCTTCCTTAAACAATGCTGAGGGCGAGGCCTAGATTTGTGAGATTTAAAGAAATAAGGAATTAAACCGCAACAGCAATTTCTGCGTCATCTATATGCAGTCTATATGCACTCTACAGCAGGCAAAACAATTGAGGTGAAAAATAGTCTTTATATTAAAAACAAACAATGCCATGAGCAATACCTGAACAAAATCCATGAAAATAACAGCCCCTCAGCACACACATATGCTCCAAAGAAAACTAAAAACCTCACTTTGGTACTACTTACAGAGAGGTTTTGATTAGGATTCCCTGAGGATAATTATTTTCCTGAAGAGCAAGCTTAGATAAATGTAAAATATGAGTCATAATTTTAGCAAGAGCTCAGAATGATCCATGTTTTACAAATGAATTAAAAAAAACAAACCAAAACCCTAAACAGTTGAGAGACATAAATAAGCTCATGTTCATACAACCAACTTCTCACTCTTCAGAACAGCATGGCCAGAGCACGTCAAAGTGTGTGAGGTGGCCTTAGCAAAGTGGGCTGTCTTGCCCTTTTTGGCAAATTTTTGGGAATATTTCTGTCATTTGGACCATGTTGCCCAGCTGCTTAGGTAGAATCAGGAAGTCACTCTTGAGTTGCAAATGGAGTAAGCTGATAGGAGTTAATGCACAAAACCCATAAAGAACAGCTGTTGTTGAATGCTAAACTGGCAAAGGACCATTTTTCCTCTGCCTCAAGTCACCTCAGGCAGCGATTTTTAGCCGTTTCTCTGTTACAAACCCAGGCCACGTCTGTCGAGCTCTGAGGACTGGTGCCATGCCAGGGTCAGCTATTCCTCTGCTGTTGGCAGAGCACTGCCAATGGATCACACTGCTGCAACTCAGTGCAAAATTACTCTCCTGTCTCTTCATAACACTATTTAGATGGCACTAAAAAAGGCAGCGGATTTGCTTGTGCTGAGGTGGTGAATCTGCCTGGATATCAGTATTTGGGGAACAAAAAAGAAAGTCAGCAAGTTCACAAAACCATCAGAATTAGACAGCTGTATTTCAGTCTTGGGCACTGAAAATCTAAATCCGATTGTCAGACATGAAAAACTACTGCTGCTCTCATTCCAAGCAAGCAGCATATACCATCCTCCAAAAGAGTTCTGGGTCACCTGCCTCTTTCAAAGTCAGTGTGCTGCCTTTTTAAATGTCCCATTTTCACCAGTTTTGGCTTTAGGAAAATAGAGGTGACATTTAGTGAGGGGAACATTTTCATTGAATGCATAACTGAAATAGAACACTTCAAAAATCAAAACGTGATAGCATTGCAGAATCTCCCAGGCTTAGTCATTGAATAAACTTCACCTAATCAAAGACCACTAATGCTGGTTAGAGTTCCCTCTGCTGTTAAGTGTCAGGTCATGTGGGGTTCAGTCTGCTTTGGGCACTGGAAAACTCTCGATAAGAGGCCAAAAAAAGGATCACAGGGAGCAATGCCAATAGCCTATCCAGTCCACTCTTGTCTGCGAGAACAGACGTAAGTGGTTACATGAGAGCAGACATGCATGATACTGCTTTCTCGCCTCCAGCTCATTTCAGCTCAGGTAGTTGCCCGAGTCCAGATTCTTTCAGCTTTCCATCTCTTTC